TCGTAAACAGAGGTTTTTGCTTATTTAAAATGATTAAAGCGCCATCCGTTGCATAAAATTTAAACCAAAAACAGATTCACGGAGGATAGAATCAATTTTTGTAACACCTACATAAATCGTTATAAAAGTTATTTCTTTTAATTTTTAATAATATTTTATGCTTTTACTACCTCAGATATAATAATAATAATAATAATAGGCTTTATTTCAGAGGACATATACATGTGTAGAAAACGTCAAGGTACATTTGAAAATAGACAAACATAAATACAATTAAAAATAGGAACATATACATAATAATAGTAATAATTTACAGGAACTAAATCTACATTAAAAGAAATTCACTTATACCATAATAACATTTGGACAACAAATATGACTTTAAAAGCGTTTTAAAAATGTTAATTGACTTAGCATTTTGAATGTCTAAGGGGAGTCTATTAAATATATTTGAAAACATATAGGTTAACCTAGAAAGAGTGACAGTCACGGAGGATAGGTTTTAGACTTTTAAAACATTGTAAAAAATAATTAATTGCGGTTAAAAATCTGAAACCTGAGCTGTAATATCTACTTAATTATGAAAGATCAAAACACAATAAAAGTGTAGGTCAAACTCATTAAGTTTTATTAAATATCACGGGGTAACACCATCAGGGGACATTTCGTTAGATTCACCCGTTTGCACCTAAAAGTTCTTGTTTACTCTATTACACATTTAACGTTTATTGGTGAATCTGTATTTGCAATTTCCTATTATTCAAATTACTCAACAACGACAGACTTCTTCACTGTGCGTATTTGTGAAAGGCAATATCTCCGCACGATTTTATATGGCGATGGAGCAGGCACAGTATAAAAGCAAAAGGTAATAAACCTGCGATATTCGGCCGGCGAATCCGTTTCGGTCAAACATTCTCTTTCGGCTCACGATCCTTCACACACACGAACTGATAGCCGTTGTATAATGGTGCGCTGGGTAGCTTATGATTTATCAATCGGGCCATCGGCCAGAGAAGAGAAAAGCCATTCGAAATCATATTTTCTTTTCCTTACTGACGGAACAGATGGAATATAAATGCATCCGGTTTTTTGTTTTATTGCGGATTCCTTTCAGACAGTCCAGCCGTTTAGTTTGTCAATCGTGTATGACGACTAGATTAGGGGTTTGTTACGACAACGGTTTGCGTTCATTAAAATGTAATATGCGATAGTGGGTAGTAATAAAATATTGACAAAGGCATTTTGTATTCGTTGTGCCCTAAATGTTTTATACTGTCTGGTAAATGTCTTGTTTTAAGGCCAGCTAAACACACTTCGACCAAAATTACAATAAAACTTAATATTTTAATTTTATTCTACTGACTTTAAAGAAGATTCTCCTTCCATGTCGCGTTGTTTAAAATAATAATAATAATATTTATTGGTCTAAAGATCATACAATGATATGAGACAAGTCAATTCAAAAACTACATGTTATTCAAGTAAATATAAATTAAATAACAAAAAAAACTATGGTAAATCAAAACAAATTACAATAGCATTTTATAAAAAAAAAATTTGACTGAATAAAAAGCTTTTTCAAGAAGAATCAAATTTAAGTTATGTTTGAAAGAATTTAAAGTTTTAAATTTAAGAGAAGTATCTAGCTTATTGTATAATAATGCACCTATGTAAAATGGATTCGACTTAAACAGCTCAAGCCGGTGTATACTTAATTCTAAATTAGAACCATGTCTTGTGTTATATGTATAATGTTCATTGAGACTAGAAAATTTTGAAAGGTTATTTTTAACATAAATAAGTGACACTAGAATAAACAAACATTGAAGGGTTAGTATTTTTTTAGAAATAAAGAAAGGCTTACATGACTCTTGAAAACCTAATCCATATATAAATCTACAGGCTCTTTTTTGCAGAATAAAAACACGTTGGACAGAGTTGAATAGCCAGCTGGCTTTAAGAAAGAGTCAACTAGTACTGACTTCAAAGAAGATTTAGCCATATTCGGCCAGTTTATTGTTGATGGCTTGATGACTAAGCCTCTTAGTTTTTTTTAACATGAATGCAAACGATTTTGTTCCAAGGCGACTGTTTGTTTAGTATTTTTGACGTCTACTTTAACCTGCCTCGCTGCGTATTTCGTTCGGTACTCGACCTTTGCTTCAAGACTGAGAAGGTTTTTTCCGAATAATTTTTTTTTTAAATTGAAAAAATGGAATAACAACTTTGAAATTTTGAATATTATGGAAATTTGTTGTTTTCATGTATATCCATATTATACAGGGTGTCACCTAATAAATTGTCATCCTTTGGGGGGATGATAGTACACGCCAAAACAAGAAAGTTTTTCCTCTATTATTTTGGCATCAGAACTACTGTTAAAAAAAATTACAAAACCAGGGGCCACTGGATGTCACTGACCTTTCCTATATATCATTATTGAGTTTACCTCTAAAAACAATGTTAATATTCATCTAAGCAAAAAATAAACAGGTATGCTTACAGTTTAATATGTAATATCAAGCAAACTTTTAAACTCTGCATAAAAAAGGGTCTACCAAAGATCCAAACAATTTTAGACCAATTTCAATAACGCCAATTCTAAGTAAAGTATTTAAAAAAGCACTTGCAAAACAATTCTTAAAACACTTTGAAGATAATGCTCTAATATTAAACTGTCAATTTGGATTTAGACCCGGTAAGTCTACGACTATGGCAGTATCGCTTAACTCGCTTGATCTCAGACGCGTTTGAAGAATTTAACTAACAAAACTATCTTACTACAACCTATCACAGAATTCTTTGTCCTTGCTAAGTTCTTTTCTCAAAAACAGATTTCAACTAGTCAATGTCAACAACGGGAACTCGGACCTGCTTACGGTGCTGCTCAGTGTTCCACAGGGATCAGTACTGGGACCCATCCTCTATTTGTTGTACATTAACTATATATCGTTTTAAAACGATAAATATGTTCATAACAATAAACTTTTTCTGTTTGCGGACGATACGACCGCAGTAAGAACAAAAAAGAACCTTGTCAGTCTTGGAGAGGAATTGCTCGAGACGCGATCGAGGCTCTATCGGTGGTTTATTAATAATAAACCCACTCTAAACCTTGACAAGACCACGACTTGCTACTTCTCCTTAAGGCCTCTGCCAAATTTAATCAATCCTGACTCCATCAAGTAGCATCAGTAACCTCTAAATATGTATTTGTTCTTCGTTGTCTTAACGGAATAGTGTCAGACTCTGTCTTTCTGACCGCATATTATGCATTAATCCATTCTAGACTTTCCTACGCACTTCTTGCCTGGGGACACTCGCCAAGTAGTCAAAGACTTTTTAAAATACAACAACAAGCAATAAGAATATTAAAAAACTTCGGTATCGGGATGACTGCAAGAACGCTTTTGTTGAATTAGGTATTTTAACATTACCCTGTATGTTCATATATGCCTTAACTAGGTCAGGGAAAACCGCAGTGATTACCAAACGCGATTGAAAACAAACAATAACAACATCAGAAATAGTGCAAACTTACACATAAACCTCCATAGGCTTAAAAGAAGCAGAAACAGTATTGACCACTGGGGACCAACAATTTTAAGACCAATGTGAGATTATTTTTGGGGCGTAGGTGTTTCTACTCTACGACGGAATTTGTAGATTTCAAATTTAATCGATTTAATCGATTTTATATAACCATGCGATCTCATCCACCTTAACTTAGTTTTAAGTATACCTACATAATATATAAGCATGTATTTTTTTGTAACTTTGACACAGACATTTGCTATAAGCAATAAACTAAACTACACTTGTTCATAATCGGTTAGTAGGTACTTTGTTAACATTGATTACTGACAGTTCGGTTATTATTGTGGTTTCTCTGGGACTACAATAACAGTTTAGTGTGCCAGAGCGAAGTTGACACATTAGAACTTGTAACTGCAGCGGCAGATGAAATCCAAAATCATCCGGATATGATAGCAAGAGCGACGCATCATAATTTTCTACGCCGCTGTAAACTTTGTGTGGATAATAACGGCGGGATAGTTAAACATTTAGTATGATTTTGTGGAACACTTAAAAAAATAGCTACATGAGCATCAATAGACGTATAAAGTGAAAGGTAAAATTTAAAATCGACGGGAAATTCACGGAAACCTCCAATAAAAAGAAAGTATTGTTTTATTTAAAGTACCTTAAAATGGCTGTATGCAAAACAAAAAACAATTATCAACAAACTAATCAATGATAAACCAAATGTAAGTTTTTAATGAATGTAGATTATTGCCCACTGTGCAAGCATATTTTGCGTCAGTTGTCATAAGTCAGGAAGAACCAATGGCGGTCCAAAATTTTCACTTTACTTATAAAAATTTTAATGATTTTTTTATTAAAAAAAATCACAAATGCAAAAACTATCATCCCCTTAAAGGATGACAACTAATTCGGTGACACCCTGTATAACAATTTATAATAAATACATACTACTGCTAATTGTAGCAATGTAAAGAAACGAATGTTTATAGAAATGTTACTATTGCTGTTGTTAAAGTAATCTGTGAGGTTTTATTAGAAATTGTATGATTTCGAAAAGTTTATTGACTGCATCACTGTTCAGCGCGTTCTGTGGGTAGTAAATACTTATGTGGGTTACAAAAACCATTAAAATCAATTTCATATAAAACCTAAAATAAATTGCCTCAACAAAATGTTGACTTTCCGGGAATTACATGTTATCTTTACACAACATGACATTAAGCAGAATCCCATTTTCGTCAAAATATATTTCGCTAATAATATAATAATAAAACAAGTCTAATTTTAATGCTTAACGTTAGGTGTAGGTATATATAAAAATTTATTTCCAACAAGACAAAATTTTTCCTTCAAAAAACTCATTTATTTTCTCAACTTTTTAAATGTAGCGTTTCAAAAATAGCATTTCATTTACCAACCTTTATTAAGTCTGTGTCCCCTTTGGTTTGCAGGCGGTCTAGTGTCTTACAGCGCACCAGAGAGCAGCGAGACTTCGCAAGGACTGCACGACAGCTCTTACGATGGCGTCGTGTCCCAGGGGGAACTGAAAGGCGGTCTTGGCCGTCTGGTGGACGGCGAAATCGGCTTGGACAACTTTAGACTGGACATCGGATATGGAAAAGGTAGGAATTTAATTTCAAGAACATTATTAAACAACTTTTCTGTAAAATAAAAATTGAACCTTAGGGCTGTCGTTAACGACTGATTTAAAATATTTATAAAAAAATACCGTATTTTTGTTTGTAAATATATATGAAAAAGTAAATCCAGAAAATAAAAATAGGTACCTATAAAAAAAGATATAATTAAAGATTAACATTTTTTAAAGGTAAAATTACTATGTTAATCATATATAATATCACGAGAACTATGAATTTAATCGGTTAAACTAGGCTCAGTAGTTTTTTTTTTGGTTTTGGAAAATGTTGAATGCAAAATAATTTAATAAAATCACGATACCGCGTAGCGGTCGAGGGGTTTTATTTTTAATTATTTTGCATGAAACTATTTTCCAAAAATAAAAATCAAATAAAAAACTTACTGAGCATAGTTTGACAGATTAAATTTATAGGTTGAGTAATATACGTCTAGATTATTTCTCGAATTAAAGGAAACTATTTGACAATTCATAAAATCTGACGTATGTGTCAAAATTAATAAATATTTTTTTAAAGAAAATTCCATTAATTTAAGGTATGTAATAAGTAATAATTGATATTTCCTAAACTAGATAACTTATTTTTTTATTGTTTAAAAAAAAATGTTAAAACTTGTAAATAACACCATAAAATCGTAAACAAAAATCCAATATGGAGGCTAAAATTTAATCGCTGTTAAATAGTTCTAGTGATTTAATCGTTTATTTAAACGAAATTTATTCGAAAATTCAAGGCTTTTGATTGGTTCATAATATAATGAGGGAAATAATCATATCAAACTTTGCTGTTCTTTGTCTGACCGAAAAGCTAAATGCTTGAAATCAATTGAATTATAACTTTCTTTGGTTTCATTGTAAAATAATTACCCCTGACATTAAACTTTGGTGAAAATATTTATTGATACCTACATTTTTTTATTATTAAAAATATACCTTCCATAAATGTTTACTTTAAAATAGCATACCTAGATAATTAAAAAAATTACTATTCAATAAATTTAATTATAATTGTTAATATGTTTTAATTAAATTTGAAATTTAATAAATATTAAATAAAATTTATAAATAGAAATAAATAACTAGGGCAAAAAGGATTATAAAATAAAACTCAAATTGTGTTTAAAAAATATTTGTCCTATTTTTTTCTACAAGCTTTGAAGAATTTTAAATTTTAGACCATGTTTAACTTATTTTTTCTACTCCCATCTTTAAAACGCCCTTTATCGTACATGTTTCCATGACACTAAGTGACCTTTTAAATACACATTGACAAGTTGTGGCTTTACGGCGCTTTAGTCACGGCCGGAAGTTAGCAACAGGTTTTTAGTCACGGGCTGAAGTTAGTTTTAAGTTAGTTGACATTTGTCAAATGTCATACAATCGTTAAAATAAAGTGCCTTTCTTGTAAAATAATACTAAATATGAAAATTATTTTATTATCTCAATACAAAAATACAAAAGTACATATTCAATAGTTTCTCAACGCCAATATTTAAAAAGTTTATATGAACATTGTACTGACCTTTTAATTTCGCCGGCAGTAAACTATAACTTAAATTCGGACACGGACTCCACTGTAAAGTGCTCATAAAACATTTTCTTTACTTTCACTGTGAAAACCTGTAAATTTTCAAGAAATACATTTCGATTTATAACCTTTATAATTGTGTTTATAAAGTATATAAAAATTTGACATTTGACGATGACACACAGATTCCCCTATTGTTTCATAGAGGGCGATCTATAGAAATTTTTGATTTAAATCATTATAAGATAATAATAAGTATTTGTCGTAGAAAAAGTAAAGTATGCACCTCGTTTAACACTCATTAATTAAGCACTCGCTCGCAAGCTCGCTCGTGCCTAAATAAAATTCGTGTATAAAATGGCGTTTATCAAACTTGATACATAATATACTATTAATATAACCCAATTATTTAAAAAAACAATTTGTATAAGGCATGCATACTTTTTTCATTGTGTTTATTTAACTTTTTTAAAAAGTAAGGATTCTTGCCATATTTCCAGTAAGGATATCCTGGCTACATATGTAGCCAGGATTTTGGACAGGCAAGGGTAACCTATATGGATGCTATAAAAAGTGTCTAGCCTCCACCTGGAAGTTTATACGTATAAGTATGGCTCCATCCTTTTGTTTAAAAAGTTCTAAAATTCTGAACCCATAATTTATGTATATCAAGCATTAACTAACATATGTTTTCCTCTAGAGTTTGTTTCTTAATTTTTTTAAATTCTTGTCATTCATTTTAAATGTCTTTTTCCCCTATCGATGTCCTTGGCATCATTGCATTTATTTTTTAAAACAGGTTTAGTATTCCTATAACTATAATATCCTTATCTTCTTTACTATAATATATTTAATTAATCAAATATTTAAATGAAATTTCCACCAACTTCAACACAATTTCTTTGTTATTTTCGGAGGCTTTATTTAATTTCGTTTTTCATAGCTTCTAATACAACTTTACATATAACAGAACCAAAAAATGTAACCAATGATTTTAAAGATTTAAGTACTTTTTAACTAGATATTAATTAAGATAATCCTTCTCGTCAAAAGCCACTAAACATTTAAAGCCATTTTTTTTCTGTCATCTCTTGACCATTAACTGTCTCCCTGAGGGATTGTGTGTTACCTACATAGGTCCTAAAACAACCCGGTACATGTTTGTTTTACCCGACGCGAACCATTGTTTGTCGGAGATTGTCCTTTTTGTCGCCACCAGATTTGTATGTAGCGTAAATATTTTCACGTGGGATTACGTTTAATTAATTCCTTCGTTTAATCCATTATAAAAGGTGACACTATTTTGATAGAGGACTCTGCGTGAATTTTTTATGCGAAAGGCATTAGGATAGGTTGGTAAATAGATAAGCTTCTTAGCAGATGACGGCGACATTTATAAAATGTTATATAGGTTTTTAGACCAAAAAATGATTTAACATTTTAACCCACATTTTAAAAATATTAATATTACATTATGTTTCCTTGCCAAAAGGGGATTTTAAGAAAAAATGTACACTGGTATAAAAGTCAGATTTTTTAACTTGAGTTTGTAGTTAATTTTATTTTGTAAAATTTTAACATAATTTTTTTTTTAACCAGGGTTTGTAATTATTTTAACAAAGGAAAATATTGAACTGAAAGTTTTGTAAAGGTGATATGCAATTGTGTAAGCATTTTGTTAATTTCAAAGGATACAGATTATTTTGTTATTGTTTAACAAATTATTTCGAAAAAGTACACGTCATTTTAGGCAGTCAATCAAAACATTTCCCACTGACATTGTCAGTCTGACAATACGCATCAACAAGTTTAACTGACTTCAGCGTCGGCAACTTATGTTTCTGCTTACTTTATTCCAATTCGTAACGTGTTCGTAACAACTGTCCAGAGTGTTTATAATATATTATCAGAACTTTGTTAATATTGTTATTCAGGTTCGTTATGGGTATTTTTAAGTTGACCAGAATAGGAATTTTATTAAAAAATTTATAATTATTATAAATTAGATATATAACATATTATTTCTATAGAATATTAATCAAGTATTAAATATTTCATGCTTTTCATACATGATACGAACTATATTGTATGTTTTTAAGAATTTTCATTGCAGAAGAATAAATGTTGTCTTGTCCGTGACGCCAAAATAAAGGGCATTACAAATATTAATTTAATTTTTTTATTTACATTTTTTTTATCCTTTCTTCGATGATTATTTTGTACTGTTTTACATTTAAAATATGAGTCTCTTCTTCTTTTTTAAGATTAATTTGAAAATTTCCTTTAACGATTTCATCTTCATTCTGTATGTTTAAAATTTTCTAGAAATATAGTTTTTGGTTGATAAAACCAAAATTTTCATGTTTGACGCAAGCACATGTTTCGCGATATTTAGCTTTAGAATGAACTACTCAGAATGGTTTACATCTAAAGAAATTGGTGAAAGAAACTGATACTCTTGCAAGTGTCACAAAAAAGACTACTAATAAGTGTAGGCACTCATATATTAATTAATTATTTCTTATTTACACCTATAAACATAAAATAATTTACTCACCTTGTTTAACTTTAACACGTACTACAAACCAAAATAGATATTTTACCTTGTTGAGAAAGCGTTGCCGAGTTGTGAATAATTATATTGTGTGAAAATGGCGTCACGGATTGGACATTTTAAATTAAGGGACACCAACTAAAATGCTTGTCACAAATATGTTTTAGGTTTTCATTTTAACAAAAATTAGTTAATAACTGTATACAACTCTACAAATTTAAGAAAAAATATAATACTTATGAAGGCAGAAATAATATTTTTCCAGCAGTCACTAAAGTTCATAAATCTTTGTTGGGGACAGTCAAGGATTGGACATTTAGTATATTTCATATACCATATTGGGAGATTTTGTACATAATTTAAATAGCCTAAGGATTGTTTTATCAGACCTATTCTTCACATTTCATTTTTGTTACGAAAATATTAAATTCTAACCTCAGGACAGCAAGTAGCCAACTTTTTAAAATATAGGCATAAATACCTATAAATATAGGTACAAATACCTATAAATATAGGTATGAAGTGTGCAAAGTGCAAAGTATCCGAAAAAAGATGCCATTACTGGTTTTCAAACTGAAATTAGGGGATCTCGACTCGAAACACTTCTAAAAGTCAATCTTTGGGATAGCTTTTAGTTCTTTCAACGATGCGCTTTTAATGTCATCTATGCTTGCAAAACGACGGCCCTTTAAGGTTCCCTTTATTTTTGGGAATAGGAAAAAGTCAGACAGAGGCATGTCTGGCGAATATGGAGGCTGGAGCATCATTACAGTATTGTTTTTGGCCAAAAATGTTGTTCAAAATTTAACAATTTTAGAACAAATTTTGCTGCCAAGCGTTTCATACCCAAAACATTCGAAAAAATTTCATGGGATGAGCCAATCGATATACCAACATCATCAGCGACTTCTGTGATGGTTTATTAACATTTATTCCACTTTTTCCATGATTTTATCGGTTGTAAATGTGCTTGTGCGTTCGGGGCGTTCGTCATCTTCAACGTCTTCACGGCCATCTTGGAAACTCTTATACCACTTGTAAACTCTTGTTTTACTTATAGCAGACTCACTGAAGGCCTTTGTTAACATTTCACAGAATTTCACGAACGAAAAATCGCCGAGCTCATAAAACACGTCTAACCTCCGAACCCGCGAAATTTAACAATTCCCGTTATTTTCTGAACACACCTCGTATGTGTTAATTTTTTTTGTTTAGGAAATTGTTTAATAAAGCAACATTTCTTATCAAAATTCTTTTAATTTAAGTTCCCAATTTCCAACAATTCCTATTGTAACTAGGTCTACAAAAAGGTTTGTAAAAATAAGGTCCTTTTTGAAAATTACAAGAACTTAGGTTGAATTGTTAACAAAATGTTTGTTATAATTACAAACTACTTATTTACTTAGTTAACAGATTACGGTTGGTTGTAAACTTAACATAAAGTTAAGTGGACCTGGATTAACATAAGATTTGGTTAAAATGAACAAATATTTTTTTACTGTGTATTATTTCTTTTAGTCACTTCGTTTTTAAAATACAAAGTGTGAAAAACTTTGTTTGTAGTTTTAACTTGTTTATTAATTTTTTCCAAGGGTTTTTTGGTACACTATTCAAGCTTGATTCTTGTTGCAGGTAACGGGTGGGTCGCTTGGAAAAACGACTCGGTAGCGAGCGGCTACGTGGAGCTTCTCTTCGAGTTCGACCAAGTGCGGAACTTCAGCTCGGTGCATTTGTTCACTAACAACTTTTTCAGCAGAAACGTGCAGGTAGGTTAATATTTAATATTATTTGAGGCCGTGGCCCACTATCGCTCGTTTTAAATATTTATTTAAAATGTTGTTGTCTATGAAAAATATACAACCACGGTTTGTTGCTTTTGGTCTATAAAGAACCTGACAGGCGTTTTATAGAATATAAAGAATTTTTGCTCTCTCACTAAATAAGAACAAGATAAATTTATGTTTGATGATGTAGGAAAATGTTTTGTGTATATATTAAATTGTAAAATACTGTAAAAATAATTTTTATTGTGAAATAAAAAAGTATTTAAATTAATATTCTGTGAATTATAAAAATTCTAACATATTCTAACAATTTTAAACGAATAAAATAAAAAAATATATACATTAAAATATTCTAAAAACAATAAATTATAGAATCCTAATAATCCTAAATGAATTTATTTTTGTAAAAAATATATATATATATATATATATAGGGTGTCCGAAAAATCTCACAATAATGCCAAACTACGGTTATTTTACATATTAATTCATTGTAATTTTTCTTAGACAAGTTATATTTTATTATTTTTTAGTTTTAAGAGAATTTTTAAAGAAAAGATAAAACAACAATTTCCTAAAGACATGTCAAAAAAGTTTTAAAAAATTTTAGATTTTGTGTTAAATTTAAACTTAAGAAAAATCTTAATAAATCTTTTAATACTTAAAATACTAATAAATTGTTTTGATCTTTACTTGATGAAACTTTTTTTTGATATACAGGCTGATCCAAAAAGAACCTTAATAATTTAAAAAACAATAAAAATTTTTTTAAAAATATGATTTTTTTTAAACATTTAGTTCTATTTAAAACAGTAATGTTTTTTATTAGAAATCATAGTTAGTTTGCGTTTTTTGGAGAAAAAGTATAGTATGCAATTGAAAAGCCGCACATTCAAAAAATGAGCTATAGCTATAGTTGTGGCATCTAGTAATCCAAAGCCGAATTTATCGATTTAAATTTTCATTTCTTTCAAAAGTATCTGTAATTTAGTCTCAAATATCACACGCTTTCCAAAAATAGCACAAATCCACATCGCCTTCTGTAAAAAACCTCTATCACATCACATCACAAAGCCGTTTTTGGATTTGTGTTGTTTTTAAAAAATTCGTTTTATAAACTTTTCTAAACACAATCAAAATCCAAAAATACACATTTTTAATTATTTAAGTTTTAAAATAAAACTAATATAAAAAATATAAAATCCGAAAAAGAAACTATACCTAGGTATATACGAATATTTCAAAAACTAACGAGCTATAGAATATATTCTACCCTTCTACTTTAAAGTAAATCGTTGATTTTGGAACTCTGTATATTATTTTTAAATCGCAAACAATATAGATATTTATATAAAAATAATTTAAAATCATAAAAAAAATTACTTGAACCTTGAACTATGAATCTTTATTTTGTTCAAAATAGTTTTTCAAAAATGGCGAATGCGCCGGGATTAATAATTAAATTTAAATTTAATTCCATTACTCATTACAAGCAAAAATTTTAATTACAAATAAATGCTTTTTTCTAATGTATCTGTAATAAAGTCTCAAATATCACAGGCTTTTCAAGAACAGCACAAATCCACATCGCCTTCTGTAAAAAATGTTTCAGATGCATCAGACTGTGTATACCTACAAAATCAGCTAAACTTAATAAATGAATGGTGTAACCTCAATAGACTTTTTTTGAATATCGGTAAATGTAAGGTGTGTAATAGTTATTATAGAAGTTAGCTAAACTTATTTTGAATTTATAGTTACTTTAGTATTTGTTTTTATATTCTGTATTATTATTTTTATATTCTGTATTATTATAATTGTTCTGTAATTGGAATTCCTTTTCTGTTGGGCAATAAAGATATTATTATTATTATTAAAAAACATCTATCACATCACATCACAAAGCCGTTTTGGGAATTCGTTTTATAACTTTTCTAAACACACTAAAAATGCCTTTTTTCCAAGCTTGTTGCATAATATACCGTTAAGATACAAATTTTTAATTATTTAAGTTTTAAAATAAAACAAATATAAAAATATATAAAATCCGAAAAAACTATATTCGCGAATATCTCAAAAACTAACGAGCCCATAGAATATTTTCTACCACTTAAAAGGATATCGTTGATTTTTGGGACACTCTGTATATTATTTTTAAATCGCAAACTAAATATATATTTATATAAAAAATAATTTAAAATAATAAAAAAATATTTACTTGAATCTTGAACTTTTTTGAACAAAATAGTTTTTCAAAAATGGCGAATGCCCCGGGATTAATAATTAAATTTAAATTTAAAATTCCATTACTCATTACTTGCAAAAATTTTAATTACAAATAAATGCATTTTTAATTATAACAATTTTAAAATTCCAACTAATTTTTATTTAATATCTACAATAGCTCATAACTTTTCATACCCAACTTCAGTTTCTATCCTACATAAACAAATATAAATTTAATGCGAGTTATTTCCACAATAATAACGCAATTACGTGTCGTAATTACAATTTGCATATTAATATTAATTAAATCGGGGGGAATTGCGGCTATCGGTAACTAAGTACAATGGTTTTGTTTGCCATTCAGCAGCGAGAGATAGCAGAGAGGTAGTATAGGTACTACACTGCACACCGCGCCCCGCACATAGGGGTATTTGACCTAAAAAGTTGGCCAAAATTATTTTATCACCAATATTGATTTAAAAGGCGTACTATATGCAGTATCAAATAATATTAACATGGTTCTCATATTTCTTTGTTAAATGTTTAACACTATGATCTTATACAGGATGGTTCAGTTTATATAGTCAGAATGTTATTTATTTTGTCAAATAAAATACGGCATTTGACATATAGGGCGTTAATTTGTCTGTCTGGCTTTTTGACGATTTTTATTTTATTTTGCTCCTTTATTTATATATAATATGTTTATTCTTTAATAAAAACCTAAGTAAAGTGCATGATTGGAATTTTTACGAACTTTTTTCACCGAAAACATTATTCAAAATCTAAATTTTACATGACTTCCCAAACGTGAATTCTTTTGTTTCTCGTGTTGGCATAGTGACATTTTACTGCTATTTTTTGATATCTTAACAAGGTATTTTTATCATGGTTTTATTTAGTTTATAAAAAGTGTAAAATAAGTAAAAGAAGTAGAGAGTTCAAGTGCGTAAATAACCCGGACAATCTGGGCGACGTAAGTGATGAGCACGGAGAACGTTTTCACCAGCACATGAAGGCTATGGAGCGGCGGTATCACGGCATCTGGGATGCAGCTATGATGGGTGATAACATTTGGTCCCTCAGAATTTTTTTAAACCTATGCCAAATAATAATATAAAATAAAACTTTCAATATTTTCAATGTTCAATATTTATTGTTTAATATTCAATAAATAATTTAATTTCAATATTTAATGTTTAAAATAAAAATCAATGTTCAATATTAAATTTTATATAATTCAATAAAATAAAGAAAAAACGTAAAAATTCTCGAAAAACTGAAGTTTGCTCTTCCACTGAAAAATTCATAACTTCGCTATTTATCCATGGATTTTTATCAACAGCAGCTTATTTTTTTCCTTTAAGTATAATCTATACGTAAAATAAATTAAACTGCAGTTTAGATAGAAATCGAAAATATAGGTCCATGGACCTATATTTTCGATTTCTATCTTTCCCAGAAAGATATGTAAATTTTCGACCTCGATTTTTGTAAAACAAAAGGACTTTTTCAACTTCATAAAATCGCCAGTATCGAACTACTTAGCCGATACCAAAACTATACAAGAGAAAGTTGTACACTGTTCAAAATTTCATGACCATTTTAACACCAAATTAACACCATACATGGTCTATATCGATACAAACCAAAATGGTGTTAAATAAGGTTCGTTGGTCCGGTGTAAATTCAAATACTAAAATGGTGTAAATTTAACTTTCACACAGTATTAAAATAAATTTTTGAACACCTTTTCAGTGTTAAATATAATGTGTTTTTGGTCAAATTAAATCATACTACACAGAAAAAAAGGAAACAGGAAGTTCCTTGACGCATTACAACTATATTACCAGTGGTATTATTCCAGAAAATTGACCCTTCAACTCGCTAGAGATAATGTTTTTAGTGCGTTCCACCAGCTGTTTCCACCTATTTAAGGTCTCTTTAGTATCGAACAACTTGTAGTGTCACACCAAAGCAAAGGACTACCTGAGCTTATATACTCTTCATGTAAGTCAACAGAGGCGAGATTAAAGAACATCACGTGATACACACCGCCTTTGCCGCGATCGGTACACACTATGTAACCAGGAATGCACGGCAAATTGTTTTAATCGTTTTAACAGAGTGCTTTAGGTTGAAGTAACTCTTATTTTACAAACAACATATTTAGTAAACTGAACCATACAGCGGGTTGGTTTCACTAAAGTTTTCTGGGTTAATTTAACCAATTTAAAAAAATAAAATAACTATCTAGTTTAGTACCGTCAAACTAATCTTTGTTTATATTAATCTTCCCACAGTTGATTTAAATAAATACTTATGGGTAAACTAAATTAATATAGTTAAATGAACTAACTATTCCTTTTTTTCTGTGTAGGTGCACTTCTCAAATATGTTTAGATAAACACCGTTTTGGTGTTTGCTGTATAAAACATTTTCAACCATAATTCATGGTGTTATATAAACACCACTTGGTGTTGGATTTTGACACCATTTTAAGATTACTTTTTACACCACAGATATTTTAAACAGTGTAGAGCGCTCAATTACCTTTGTTTGGTCGAACCGATCAATTAGAATTAGAAGTATAATCTAAAACGTCAAAACCCCTAAGAAAATTAAAGAAACAATTGAAAATTCATCATCGAAAACGCTTCCATGAAAAAAAAAATTGTGTGATTTTTAAATTTTATGGAAATGTGGTCAAACTTTGTTAGGTTAAAAATTAATCTACAGCAGCTGTTTTGGACGTTTTAAAGACGATTTTTTGCAATATTGTTTAGAAAAGGATAGTAGACGATTTGGAAATAACTAAAAATTGAGAGAACTAGTGCTTCACGTAGTTGTTTTCTAATTTGTGTATTTAAATAATCTTTATTAGCATATAACACCCTTAAGCGCGCATAAGTGCTTTTAAATAATTTACTGGGGTTTTTGGTTTAGTTACTCGTTTTGTTACAGAGCATGTCCATCAAATATTACGTAGAATTTAAAAATGCGGTTTCACCGGAAGTTATAAAGCATTGAAAATAATTTAAAAAAATAGTTTACATTCCCTTATAATTAAAATACAAGTTTCAAATCCATATCTTTTTCCGTTCTCCATAAACTTCTAATAAATAAGTTAGGTGAATCACCCTGTATAAAAACAATTTACTTTCTTAATGTTTAAATTAAATTAACAACAAATAAATTTGATAGTTTTTAAATTAAATTCGTGATCAGCGACCCCAAAAATCCAATTATGAAGATTTTCTGGGCAATAAACTAATTTTTGATCTGCAACCCCAAAAACACAAAAAATAACATTTCCCGAGCGATAAACTTAAAAAAGTCCGCCATTTTGAATTTAATAATTGTAATATAAAATTCGTAATCAGCGACCCCAAAAACCTTAACTTACCAATGTTCACATTATTATATTCACTTTTCGAGTTTTGGCCGAAGAATGAGTCGATTCGGAGCAGTGTGAGACTGTAGTACTTAATCAAGTCATCATTCGCAGGTTTTCTCCAAGGCCAAGGTGATGTTTAGCATCGGCGGCGAGTTCTTTAACGGGCCGACGCTGTCGTTTGCCTACATGCCGGACCGCGCGCTCGAGAACGCTCGCAACGTCTCCATCAATCTTCATCAGCGCGTCGGCCGATTCATCAAGCTGCGACTCTTTTTCTCAGATCGCTGGATAATGCTGAGCGAAGTCAGCTTCGATTCAGGTAAGTTGAAGCAACATTTAAGGGTTATTTTGTAAGGCAATTGCCTTGTAGAAATAATTTTTCTATAATATATATTATATTAGTCATATGACTAATTTTTAAAAAAAAATTTAAAGAAGAATACTGTTTTAAATAAAAGGAATATATTTTGAATACCAATAACCTGGGTCACCAAATAATACCAAAAAATACATCTTGACTAAAGTAATGTCAAAAGTTTGTTTTAAGTAGAGATGGGAAAATTGAGTGAGCCTAAGTTTATCGTTTTTCAAAATACAGGCTCTGAAGTTGCTACAATTATATTTATTAGTGCCACCCCATTGACATATGTCCAACCATCTGAAAGAATTGTCATATTATCAGCCTCTTGTACTTTATCTTCAACTACTTTTTGAATTATAGCATATTCAGAGTTATTTATTTATTTATTTATTTCTTCCAGGTAAACTTGGACGTAGTTGCTAAAAAAATATTTCACAAATTTTTAATTATTTAAATTTTAAAATAAAACTAATATAAAAAATATTAAATCCGAAAAAAACTATATTTAGAATATATTTTACCCTTCTACTAAGGATATTGTTGATTTTTGGGAAACTCTGTATATTATTTTTATATCGGCTGGTGTATTTTGGGCACACCCATATCTCAGATATTAGACATCAAATTTATATGAATTTATAATGACATTATATAGACAAGTTCTGCGCAAGCAGAATTTAAATTGAAATTTGCGAAAAAAAAGTTAGTTTTTGCCCCTCCAAATTAAGATAATTCAAATTAAAGTGGTACAATATTTAATTCACTGAAGTTTATTGACAAATTTAAAATGTTATTAAAAAAATTTAAGTATTACAGGTTTTATACCAACTTAAACGATATAAAATAACACAAACAACAAACAAAATAAACGAAATTATAAACAAATTAAACGAAATATTCAAAAACACAACTGACAGCTTCAAAATTCTAAAACGTCAATTTATTTTTCTATGCGTCATTTCATTAGGCAAAATTTTAAGCTAAACATGACAACATTGCAATTGCTGCCAACTAAAGTTGTTTAAAATGCATTAAAATATTCAATTACAGACTTCCTTTTATACATTTAGTGTTGGTACCAGTGCACAAAATTATGACGTCATCGATGACGTGTACGTCGTTTTCTTTTAAATTTACTATACTTTGTTGGTTAGAAAGATTTTGTGTATAGTTTAAGTGCTTTTTATTATGGAGTGCTAGTGCAGACAGTGTGCTCGAAAAACAAAATGTTATTAAGATTGTTAGATTTACCAAGGACTTAAAAATCTTGCAGCAACAAAAGAAAACTTCTCTATTTTAATAAAAAATCTATAACAATTATAAATGGCTCTGTTGGCCATGCATACTCTTGGGCAAAGGAATAAATTTTTGATTATGTTGCATACCCCATTTCAAATGGCACTCCACGCCACTGTTATGTCGACACTTAATTATAAAAATTCAGTAAATCCCAAAATTTGATATATTTTTATAAAGTCGAGAAATTTAATCACAAAAATGGATTTGTAAAATTCCCTCGACAAACTCTACATGCGCATCCGCCAGTTTTGCAAATCCCATTTGTATCGCGAATTTGGCGCATCTAAAATAATAAAAGAATCGCACACACTCGCTCGCGATATTAAAGTTTTTATCATTTACTGTACATTCTCTCGCCGCACCGTCAGACAAACTCGACTGGATTCGAATAAGGCAAAAATTGCTTTTCTTGCAGATGACTACGGTTGATATGGCACGTTACGCTGTACACAGCACATTTTACCTTTGTTACTGCGTCTGATATTTAAATTCCACTTATCTTCTTTCATATGTGAACATTACCAAAGCCTAATATTATCTATATAAGCCGGTTTGATTAAACTCTTATTTATGGTCTAAGATGCCACTGAAGATCTATTTAATAATATAATTTACCAAAATGGATTTTTATTTAGAATATTTTTTTTACATTTTCAAAGAACGTCTAGTCGTCATTTAATATTAAGTTTATTTCAAAAATATCATTATACAATATTCTTGAAAAAGTTACATTTTACATGGGTGTCATTTATTATGTTTCAGAATTCTCTGTACGGTGGCCCGCGAAACTCCCGTTACATCAGAAGTTTTCTGGTACTTAATGTAGGGTCCAAAGTAATTTCACCCATATCAGCTACTTCTACTTTATCATTTCTCACCGGATTTTTAATATCTCGTTTTTTATTCGCACTGAACCAGTTTTTTGCTACTAATTCCGGGATGTAACCAGGGCCGCACCAATTGTTTTTGCCGTCGAGTTCAATTAAAAGCTTGCCGCCCCTTACAGGAAAAAAAATCTTAAAAACACTATTTTAACTTAATAAAATTATTATGTATGTATTAGTGGTTTTTCGGGATCTGCTCCGTGTTGTCGGTTTTTGGTTCATAAAAGAACCGTATGTCTGACGACGTTTCGGTACAATCTCATGTACCATCTTCAGGTCTTATCTGCTGGGCTGCTGTTGCTGCTCTGCTGCGAGTTAGACGTGTAACATTACAAAATAATTTACTAGAACTACCCCTAAAAGCTAGGTTTTGCTTAGCTAAAAATTTAACAACCGATATAATTCTTTCTAAAACAGAACACCATCTTTTCTATTCACTGTTAATTAATTTTTCCTGTAAATAATCTATTGTTAAGGCACATTTTAATGAAGTTTGTAATTGAATCATTTTGTTGCAACATTTAATATGATCATTAGAAATTTCATGTCGGCTTAAGGTTCGCGATAAATGTTGCCATTCTCGAAATCCATCTAGCCCCAAAGAACTAGAAGCATTCCCAAATAACTTATATGGGAAACACAGAGTATATTTTTTAGAATATCCAAGTGCGTTGAACGGATTCACCATTTGGTAAAGTTTTTAACAAATATTTATTTGGATGCAAATAAATAAATAAAAATAAAATAAAATAACTTCTAGTGCTAGCGTCTTTGGGATAAGTTGTTTTCTTATTTAGTAGATTACCCTTTTCTACTAGCATTTACCTTATTTTCTAAAATGGGCGCAGTGCACCCTTTGCACCCTGGGTTGGCCGGCCCTGGATGTAACCATGATGTGCGTGTCTATTTGCATGCTTCTCATTAAACAAAGTTGACGTTACATGATTGTTTATAAAATACAATTTAATAATTTCCACTCTCTCCGCAATAGAATAAACCATTTTTTATCAAATCGAAAGAAAATAAAAGCACAGAAATAACAAACTATCCGCATCAACTACTTTACTGAAGATAAATTCGATTTGTCGACTGGTATTTGTTAGTTTAAAAACAATTTTTACAACGAATTTTTGATTTACGAAATTTGTAATTGTAAGCGGTCTAGTCAAATGTTCGGAATTCCATTGCTCGGCGACGCGTAGCTCAAATTTAAAAAACTAAGCGCCATTTTAATGCCCTTTAACCCTTAAGCAGGCACGCGGGGTGTACAAAACACCCCAGCTTCCTAAATATACCTACCGGTCTTACTTCGTTTCGAATAAATGGCGCTTACTTTCAGTACCTTCCTGTCAAAGTATTGTCAGTCATATTATATTGCCGATTTCGAAGTTAATGTAATAGGTTGTCTGATATTTTGTTTCAAACAGGCTCTGGGTGCTGTAGACACCCCGTGCGCCTTTCCACGTACAATTATTTTGCATTAATTTGTTAAGCTGATTTCTTCAACTTTTGTTATTACTTCACATTAAATAAGGTTATACCCTGTAAAAAAGTAATTGGAACGCACGACAAAATATTTATTTTTATCTTGAAAGCATTGCGTTATGTTTTGCTTGTTTCCGTTCGTTCTAATATTTTATGTAAACAACAAATAAAAATTTGCCAAAATTTCTCCGCCCATTAATTTTCAAATTATCAGTTGCCGGTAAAAAAGGGCAGATGTGTAATTTGTCCAAGGCATGGATTTTTGCAAAAAGTAGAAGGTGTGCCAAAAACATGTGCATAAATCACAGGAAAATTTTTTGTAAAGAAAGCTTTGATTTCATAGTAAATTCTAGTATCGAAATTGAGTGACTTTGAGCAGGCTGGGTTTCGCCTCCCTATTGACTTTTCTTTACCAAATCATAATTACTTGTAAAAGTAAACCTTATCTTATGTACTTAGTGTTTTTTTTTGGTTTTATTATTGTTATGACTTTTAAAATTTGTGTTTTTTAAATAAATGCTTTATTTTATTAAAATTGTCGTCTTTTGACATTTTCTTTTTTTTTGTCATCTTTTATCAAATTTGAACGCAACGAAATATGTTCACATTGTCTCTAAGCTCATCTTAACTTGATAATTTTGAAAAAAAAAACAAAAAAAATGTAAATAACAGTCAGGGACGCTTTGCCATCAGGGGTGTCTCTGACACCCCGCGCGACCTACTACGTTGCATAAAGAGGTGCGCCTGCATAAGGGTTAAAAAGATGTATCACAACATACCCCTTATAATTCGAAAAAATAAGGGTAAATGCACATGGGTCATTTTCAAAATTCTTGTAGATTTAAAGAAGACAAAATAAAAAAAACATAATCTACAAACCTTTTTTTTCAAATTTTGTTTATTTAGGGGTGTTATTTAACAACTAAAAGTAGGCAGTTGGATTTTTTAAATAAGACCTTTAAAAAGGTGATTCCCTGGGTCACAAATTCACTAACATATTAAAAAAATTTATCATTTATAAGTCAATTAAATATAAATAAATATGTGTATAACAACAAGTACAATATAAACATTTTTTAACAAACAACATAACTTCTCTTTTAACTGATACATAGACTAGTTACAATAAGAATTCTTCAATACTATATACAGGTTTGCTTAATAAAATATTTTTAACCAGCTTTTTAAATTCTTCTGGTTGTTTAGATTTAACTTCCCTTGGCAGATTATTGTATAGTTTTGCACCCCAGTAGTCTACTCCCTGTTGTGTTCTTTTCGTTTTATGAAGTGGAGTTTCTAAATTCTTGTATCTGGTATTGAAGTTATGATACTGGCCTATCGTAGAAAACTTATTCAAGTTTGTATGAACGAGGATATATATATATATATATATATTGCTGGTAGTGTCAGAATTTTGCATTTTATAAAATGTTCTTTGCAATTTGTTAGTGGGCCAGGGTCACATAATACTCGAATGGCTTTTTTTGCATTATAAAGACATGTCTAGCATAGCTGCAAAGTCCCGACCGTTACGCTTTAAATTATTAGTTTTTAAGGAATTGGACAGTCAATCACGATACCCAATTTTGCCCAATAAAAACCTTGTTAAACAGCTCCAGTTTAGAACCATTTATAAAAATTTGACATTGGCAATACAATAGAACAACATTATTTTGTAAATAAAAACACGGCAACTATCCCATCCGTCACGCGTAGAATGGCTCTGAAGTGATCATTGCTAGCAGTGCGGTGGTTGTTGGTCTGTTTTGACGATACCCATATTGGTTTTCGTTAAGAATATTTTTATTTTCAAAGTATTTAATCAACATGTTTTTTATAACGCTTTCAAAAATTTTTGATATTGCAGGAAGGATTGATATTGGCCTGTAATTGCTTGGATCCGACTTTTCGCCTTTTTTAAAAATGGGAATAATTTTGGCCCTTTTTAATTCTTTTGGAAATGTTCCCTCTATAAGTGGCTTAATCATTTTGAATATATATTTGTTTGCATGTTAATAATCCTTTTAAGGTTTTTTAACACTATGATTTGTTTAAAAAAAAGAACATAAATTTATTATTTATAAAAAAATGTTAAGTACAAAACTAAGTAAAAGTAAAAACTATGTTCTATTTCTCAACTTTCTTACATACATAAGTATTTTTAGTATATTTTCTATATTTAAAAAATGTACATTAAAAAATTGATTTTAAGACATTTTCGATTTTTTATCTGGGCCTAGCTTGTCCAATTTAACGAGTAATAAATTAATAAAAAGTTTGAGTTATTAGTAATTATAATAAAATATTAATAAAAAGTCAATATAAACATTGTTTCGCTGAACTCCCAACAATTTTTTTCCAGCTTCTTTGAGGCAAAATACATTGACTAGGAAAATTACTATTAAAAAGGTGGAGGACATTTTAAATTGGCTACTTACAGTCGGAAACAGAAAAGTTGGAAGGTCGAACAAAAAATGTTTTTGAAACTTTGCTATAAGTTTATTAATATATAAAAATATTATATAATTTATTTCTTTGGACTCGTCCCCTGGGTCACATAACTATCCCCTGGATCACACAATATGTGATCCAGGAGACGTGTGACCCAAGGGAAAAATATATGTTTGTAGAACATAACCTCTTTACTGTTTTAAAGATAAAATTTTGTATTTTTACCCTTAAAACCTTTAGTAAGATTCTTTGTTTTAAAAATCAAACTAAGTTTGAATTTTAATTTTGATACTTTTTATTACTGTAACATAGAAGAATGCACAGTTTTGCCACGCTAGTATAAAAAATACAAAAAAACGTGTTGTGGCTTCAGGATAGTTCAAAACACCATTTTCTACTAAAATCCGTTATCAAATACATTGCCGCAGCACCAAAAAATATTCGCTCAATTCTAAAGGTCATTTATAAAAGCTGTGACCAAGGAGACGTGACCTAGGGGACCAAAATTAAGGGACAAACTTTAGGGGTTATTTTAACCACTTGTATCTTTAAATATTACCACAAATGGGCTTTTTCTGTAGTTTTGGAATATATTTACAATTTTGCTAATATATAGTTGCAAAAAACACTTTGGCTTAGTAAAGTTCCAAATGGAGTTAAACTCAATTTTTTATAAAATATTAAAGTTGAGGGACAAAAGCAAATGTACAAGAAATTTGAAAATAACCCACATACTAAGCCGTTAACCTTGCTGGACTGTTTTTAAAGTGTAACCAACATGTTTCCTTATAAGGAATACCAAGCAATAATAAAAAACTGACTTGATATTTCTGGCATGTCCCTAAAATCTCAGCAAACTTTGAAAATTACAAAAATAACCCATTTCTATGGTTTTCATATCTACATACATTTTTAAAATTCTCATTGAGTAACAAACTCTATTGAGTTTAGGCAACAAATATTCGATATGCACATCCTATTTTAAAATAGAAAATCGTAGAATGATAAAAAACTATATTTTAAATATGTATATTTTTAGGTAATAAACTAGGTAGCTGTAATAAAAAGGCAAAGGAATATTTAATTTATTCGTTTATCAAAGCTCCACCGAGTTGGTTTTTTATATCTATAAAAACGGAAAAATTATTCGCAACATAAATTTCAGCCTTTATATTTCCACGTCGCCATAAATATGAATTTATTAGCCTATCCTTGACTTTGACACACTTATTGAAAGCATAGTTTTTTATATCGGGAAGATTGAATAAAATTATCTCCCCTGGGGTTTGGATTCTTTATGGGGTGCAAATTTTCCGGAAAATTTTTAATTTACGAACGAAATAATTGAATAAAAATGGAGAAAATTGGCATTACAAGAATTATAGTTACAGGGTGAGGTTTGTCACATAAAAATGTATTTTTTATTTTTAGCTGCTTTATCAACAAACGTAACAGAAGAGGAAACTTTAGAAGAAAATGAAGACGAACTCATCATAACATCGATAGGAGAAAAAAATACAGACACCTTCGAAACGAGTAAGTTTATAAACCTCTATAAAGAATATACCCACTGTAGAAATTGTTTACTATACACACAACCAAACTTATATGGAATCAGCCAGTAATAACGAGAAACATTATTCCACTAAAAAAAGAGTAATATGGAAATAAAAAGCACTTTATTTGAACCAATTTTATAACAAAACTTGTGGAATAAGGTTAAAAGAAGGATTATAGTTCGTCTGACAATGCAGAAAAACTATTAAAAGCAGTTTCAGATAAATTCACATTTTTTGTTATTTGTTCAAAAAAAAATTGTTTTAATATTTTTTTTCTTTTTTCTTTTTGTAATAAAATTGCTTGGGATAAGTTAATATTTATTTTTAATTTACTTTTTTTTAAGAAAAATACTGTTTCTCGTAATTACTGGGTGATTCCATATTAGATTGGTTGTGTGGTTTATATTTTTCATTAATAAACTTTATGGTGTATTACATGGTGTAAAAACATTTTATAGTCTTACCCGACATGTTTAAGACCAAATAACTGTAATTGTTTCTCCATCTGAGACACTAAAATGAAGTAAATAGTTCGGTGTAGTGCTCTCTAAAAATGAGTTAGTCAAAAATGACTAAATTTTACCACAGTTATTAGTGGCTGCTTTTTCACTTATACCATGGTTAACCATGGGATACCATGGTTTCCCCTAGGTTTACATAAAATTCTTATGTAAAATTGTCCCCTGAATCCGAAAGCAGTTTTTAGGATATAGTTAATTCCATATTATTTGGAAAATGACTATATCTCAAAAACTGTTCTACTTTTCTAACTTTTGACGACATTTTCAACGTTTACATAAAATTCTTATGTAAAATTGTCCCCTGAATCCGAAAATACCGTCAAAAATTATAAAATTAACCCTTTCGCTTATAATAATAATAATAATAGTAATATTTATTGAACAAATTTACAAATTCGCAATTTAACAATTACATTATAAAAAAGTTCGATAAATATGCTAAATACACTTAAATGTAAAACATTTTTGTGTATCTATATAAATAAAAATAAATAAACAAATAAACAATCTAAAAATAAATCAACACTATATAAAAAGTAGGTATTATTCCAAAGATAAACATATAAACAATCACAAGTTTCTGACAATACCACAATAAAATATTAACCTAATTAACTAATCTTAAAATTAAAATTAAGGTGCCTCAAATCTGTATATATTTCTGTATTTAAATCAATTCAAATCAATTCAGGTAAGTGGTTAAAACCTTATAAATTTAAAATTCTGAATAAAAATTAAAAGTTCTTTAGATCTATTTGCTTATTTGAAAATTCTCTAGGACGCTGCATTATATAGTTTCTGCACATTTTTTTAAAAGATTTAGGAAGTAAATTATTTTTTATATTTAAAATAATAAAAAATAATTTTTTGGTAGCTTATGGCGTACTAAATCTAGTACGTCGTTTTCTACAATTTTTTGTATCTACTTAACTGAATTTTTTCTATTTTCTCACATTCTCATGTCCTAATTTTAGCACACCTTGTAAAAAAGAAACTAGCAGATAAAAAAAATTGAGGTACCAAAAATAGCAAATAATTATATTGCTTTATGTGTTATAAATAATTCGTGAGCGAAAGGGTTAAAGCAGTTTTTTAGATAGTTAATTCCATATTATTTGGAAAATTGACTATATCTCAAAAACTGTTCTACTTTTTTAACTTTTGACGATATTTTCGGATTCAGGGGACAATTTTACAAGGAAATTGAATGCTAAATGTTAAAAATATAAATTGATATTGACGAGAATTATTAGTGGCTGCTTTTTCACTTATACCATGGTTTCCCCAACGTTTACATAAAATTCTTAGGTAAAATTGTCCCCTGAATCCGAAAATACCGACAAAAATTATAAAATTAAAGCAGTTTTTGAGATATAGTTAATTCCATATTATTTGGAAAATTAAATATATCTCAAAAACTGTTCAACTTTTGACAACATTTTCGGATTCAACAGACAATTTTACATGGAAATTAAATGCTAAATGTTAAAAATACAAATTGCTATTGACGAGAATTATTAGTGGCTGCTTTTTCACTTATACCATGGTTTCCCCAACGTTTACATAAAATTCTTATGTAAAATTGTCCCCTGAATCCAAAAATACCGTCAAAAATTATAAAATTAAAGCAGTTTTTGAGATATAGTTAATTCCATACAATATCTCAAAAACAGTTCTACTTTTGACGACATCTTCGGATTCAAGAGACAATTTTACATGGAAATTGAATGCTAAGTGTTAAAAATACAAATTGCTATGACGAGAATTATTAGTGGGTACTTTTTCGCTATAAAAATTAGTCATTTTTGACTAATTCATTTTTAGGGAGTGCAGGGCCGGGCCCAATTTTTCGCGATTTTAATATTCCAACTAAAAACATTATTGTTTCAGTCGCGGCCCGTAAAGATGGCGACACGTACGTGGAAGTGATAATCGGCGTTTTGACGGCTATCACGCTCTTGTTGCTGATCGTTTTCGTCATCGTCTTGATTGTCAACAAACGGCACAAATTGCAAGGATCGCCCACTTTATTGAGGAACCCCTTCGGTGTCACTATCAACATGAAGGTAAGCAAACAGTCGACTGTTAACTGAGCGGAGTGGTTGTAAATTTGGACGATTCAATCGAGTTTGCTGTGGTGCGTAACTTCGTCGAGTAATCGTTTAATTCCGTTAATTTTATGTTTGTACGATTAAGTTTGGAGTTGAGTATTATTTGATTGTTAGGAGTTAAATATTTATATATCATTACATTAATAGGTATTTACAACTTTTTTTTATATTTTATAGATTCGATCTATACTTGATGGAACTCCATGCCAGTAATGTATAACAATGTATAACAATAACAAACTTATATAACACAATTATTGCAGGTAATAAGTTTTTTTAATATTAGTACAGTATTTTACCTGTCGAAGCATAATGTAACAACAGTTGTAGTAAAATAATTTTGGAGAATTTTTTATCTCTCAATTATTTGTTTCTATTTGTTCATTGAGGATAATATCAGCTTTTTTAATTTATTAATTTCTAGTGATTCTAGTAAATTTAACTTCGTTTCTTTATCTTATTGTATATGTTACGGCTAATGTGCAAACTTGGATAGTTTATAAACTAGCTGGATAGTTTATAAACTAGCCAAACTGTCAGCTATTTTAATTAACTAAATTAGCGGCTACTTTACAAAATAACCAAGGATCTTGGATAATTTACTTGAAATTATTAGGGAAACTAAAATAGCTGGATAGTTTGTATACTATCCAATTCAGTTTGGCTAATATGAAAACCAAAATTTCTAGTAACACAAAATAGCCAAGCTTTAGCTAGTTTGTAAACTAACCAACCAATTCTCTGGCTAATTTATTAAAAAAGTGAGGTTACGGCATTGTTTTTCGTTTTGCCGGCTTAACCGGATTTGTTTTGTGCATTTTAACGTTTTTCAAATGGCAAAATAGGCAAAATTTTAACGCTTCCTTGTTAGAAAACTCAACAACACAACCCTACCGACCCCGCCCTATTGCCCCCCCCGCCCCATAGGTCAAATGGTCAAAAATGAGAGAAAAAAACCCAAACCAACCCAAACTCAACAACCCAACCGACCCCGCCCCATTGGGCCCCCCCGCCCCATTGAGCAAAAAACCCAACTAAAATGGGCAAAAATGAGAGGAATACCCAACTAAAATATGAGCAAACCCAACAAAAATTGGCAAAAATTGCGAAAATATGCAAAAAAATTGTAAAAAGTTGGTTAGTTTACAAACTAGCTAAAGCTTGGCTATTTTGTGTTACTAGAAATTTTGGTTTTCATATTAGCCAAATTGAATTGGATAGTATACAAACTATCCAGCTATTTTAGTTTCCCTAATAATTTCAATTAAATTAGCCAAGAACCTTGGTTATTTTGTAAACTAGCCGCTAATTTAGTTGAAAATAGATTTTCAAATTAAAATAGCTGACAGTTTGGCTAGTTTATAAACTATCCAGCTAGTTTATAAACTATCCAAGTTTGCCATAACATATACAATTTTAAATTTATAATTAAATGAGGTTTTCTTGAATTAAATGGTTGACATAAGTTGCGAAACAAAAAAGTTATTAATCAAAAAACAAATTCAACTTATGCCAACCATTAACGAAGTTAAATTTACTAGAATCATTAAGAAATTAATAAATTTAAAAAATCTTATATTATCCTCAGTGATCAAATAGAACCAAATTAAATTTATTTATTTATTATTTTATTACAACTTACAACTTTGACAAGTAAAATTGTCATATTACACTAATATTTAAAAAAACATTACCTGCAATAATTGTGTTATATAAGTTTAAAATCATTTGTGAAGGAGCTACTGTGTACATATAATAGAAATAATTGTCAAATTAAATTAAAATAAATTCGTGAAACTTTGTTTTTTATCTAGTTATGAATAACTTATTCTCCAGAATTTGGCAAATCTTAATGAATTTGTTTACTATTCTAGAATGTATGTTTTATAAAAAAAATCCTAAGTAAGTTTGACATTCTTTAATATGGATTAATATAGTAAAATATATTTTAAACAAAAAAAACAATTGATTTATAAAAAACATAAAATATCAAAACACAAAAATAATCAAAAATAAAATAAATTAGTAATGAGCTCAAAACATTATGTTGAATAGACAGTTTTTATTCTTTGGTTGGCGTAAATGTTTTGTATATGAATCTTTTCACGTAATTAGGTGCTATAAATGTTGTAAGTTCGGGCATCTATCTAAGGATTGTAAAGCAAAATCTACTATATGTCCCAACTGTAGTGATAAACATGAACTTAAAAATTGTAATAGTGAAATCAAAAAATGTACTAACTGCAGTGATTCAAACAGATTAAGCAAAACAAAATATGATATAAATCATTCTGTGAAAGATTCACACTGTCCTAGTTATCTGAAAGCTTTAAATAATATTAAACAAAGAATAGGTTAGTACCTTTTAATTTTATTTATTTGTATTTTATTAAGTTTTTACCCTTATCTACATACTTTATTTTATTTATTCTTATACTTTATTTATATATTTTTTTTTTGTTTAGTTAATTAAGTGGTTTAGAATGAAAAAGCCCCTTACAATAGGCCATCTTAATGTAAGATCAATTTTACCACATTATTTATCGTTTAGAGAAAAAGTAATTGATTTGGACTGTGATATTATGGCTGTAACTGAAACGTGGCTATCCAATAATATTCAAAATTCTAAAATTAACATAAAGGGCTAAAATCTAATACGCTGTGATAGAGAAGGTCGTGGTGGAGGAGTTGCAGTGTATTCAAAAAGTGAACTTAAGGCGTCACTTGTTAATATTCCTAAATCAAGTAATTTTGAAAGTTTAACATTGAAAGTTATATGTAACTCAATTAAGGTTATTGTCTCCGTTATTTATAAACCACCCAAAGTACAAAATGTTACTTTTTTAAATGAATTTGAAGATTTAATATGTTACTGTCAAGAACTTAGTCCTTATTTAGTGTATATTGGAGACTTTAACATAGATCTTTTGGGAATGACTGATATAAATATGAATTTTAACACTGTCCTAAGATCATACAGCTTGCAGCAAATCATTCAAGACCCTACCAGGGTAACGCAAACTAGTTCCACCTTATTGGACCTCTTAATTATTTCAGATAAAGTAGAAATAATTAACTCTGCAATTCACAATGTTCCAGATATATCAGATCATTGCTTCATAATAGGCCAATTAAATATCAATTTTCCCATAAAACCACATGCATTCTTCCACAAATACCGAGATAATAGAAACTTTAATTATGCAAATTTTTTTAAGGATCTGATAAATATTCCTTTTAACGACATCATTCTGTTTAACAATATTGATTCTAAAATTGATTTTTTTAACCAGCATATTACTAGTCTTTTTAATATCCACATGCCTTTTCGTGAAGCTAGAATCTGTAAAAAACCATCCCCTTGGCTAACTGATAATTTAAAGCTTCTAATGTCTCTCAGAGGCAAGGCCTTAAGTAAATTTAATAAAACAAAACTGCCGGAACATTGGTCGTATTACAAGCAGTTAAGAAATTTTACAAATCAAAGCCTAAATAATGAAAAAAGAGCATACCTTGGAAGTTTTGTAAACAATAATAACAAATCTGACATGGAAAAAACTAAATAAACTTAACATCGCAACTAAAGCTAAAAATATTACAGTTCTTACGGATGCCAATAAAATTAATGAGTATTTTGTAAATTCAGCAAAATCTGTACAAGCACCAGATGACAATACTATTAATTTTTATAAAAATAATATTTTGCCCAATGCAGGTAGTTTTAAATTTCTGTTAGCAACGGAAGAGGAAGTTCATAAAACGTTAAACTCTATAAAATCAAAAGCTATAGGCAATGATGGCATAGGTATAGAAATGCTACAGTATTGTTCACCTCACATAATCCCTATACTAACTCATATTATTAATTTTATTATTGAAAACTCTGTTTTTCCCAATCAATGGAAATCGGCCTTTGTTATACCAATACCCAAAGTAAAAATTGCAGACGATTACAAAAATCTCAGACCGATTAGTATCTTAAACACTTTATCCAAGTTGTGCGAAAAAATTTTAAATAAACAAATTAGAAAATATATGGATACATTTAACATTTTACCAACTAATCAGTCAGGTTTTAGAAAACAATACAGTTGCACCACAGCACTGCTGAAGGTAACTGATGATATTTTACGGGCGGCGGATGAAAATAAATTAACTGCTCTTGTCTTGCTTGATTACTCTAAGGCATTTGATCGTATAGATCACAACTTATTATTATCTATCTTAAAATATGTCGGTTTTTGTGATCAAGGCATACAATTAATAAAAAACTATCTTACATCTAGAACACAATCTGTAAAGCTTGACAACTCTCTTTCTTCCTCTCTTAATATAGATTGTGGAGTTCCTCAAGGGTCTATTCTTGGCCCCTTGCTTTTTATAATTTATACGTCTCAATTGCATACATATATCCAGAATTGTAAGTCCCACTTTTATGCAGACGATACACAGCTTTACCTTTCCTTTTTCCCTAAAGATTTAAAACTTGCGGAGGCTTTAATAAATAACGACCTGAGTGAGATAGTAAATGCGTCTACAAATCATGGTCTAACATTGAATGTGTCTAAGTCAAATGTTATGTTATGTGGTAAGAAGCTGGACTGTGAACGTTATAAACCAAATATTAACATAGTTATTAATAATTTGAATTTAGATTGTATAGAAGTCTCAAAAAACCTAGGAGTACATCTGGACTCAAACTTAAGATTTAACAATCATGTTTCAAAATTAGTAAGTCGGGCTATTGCCAATTTAAAAATGTTATATGCAAACAAGGATATTCTTAACCGAAATTGCAGAAAACAACTTTGCGATTTGCTTGTTTTATCTGTATTTAGTTATGCAGATTCGGTATATGGTCCATGCCTGACAAATTTAGATTCTCAAAGAATTCAGAGGATACAGAACTCTTGTGTCAGATTTATAAGTGGACTTAAAAGACGCCAAACTGGTGT